TGCATCAACATCACTGTGTATACAAATAACAAAACAATTAAAATATGATTTCCTAAAGTTTCTAAAACATTATAATCAATTTTATTGCAAATCATTGTGCAATCTGCCATTGGGATTCAAACACCAGTCCAGAAATACTCGGGTTCATCTATTTTAAAAAAAAATATTTAAAAACTGAAGAAAAAAAAAACATGTCTATAGTACGATCGAACTGGAGTTGTCAAATGGTGGCTTGTTGTAATGTTCTGAAGTGTATGTACCATGGTGATGTATTTAAGTAAATAATGTGGTTGACGTGTTCATTGATATACTGGAGACTCAATTCAGTAATAATTGTAATCAAAATTCTTGTGTTTGTAAACGTTAACACTTTTCTTTTTTTTTAATGATTTTAATCATCTTAAATATGAATAACAACCAATCCAAAACAGGAAATCTTGTCTGAAATCAACATGTGAGAGACTATTAATGACAATGAAAATATAGAGATCTAGATATTTTGATGTATGATATATAGAGGCAACTCTTATTTTTAGCGTTGACAATATGATTTTTATCTCACTCTTATTAAAATTAAAAATCAATGTATAATAAAATAGATAAATAATTAATTAAAGGTCTTTATGTGAAAACAAGTTAATAAAAAGTCTAGTGACAATTTCAGCGCAATTTCCTTATGTTATCCATAACAATTTTTAATTTTTGTGACCGAACGAAAGGATATTGTTTTGCGCTAAAAAAAGACAACTATATTAATCTATATAACGAGTAAGCCTGCACGATGCTCAGTTTAAAAAGTACATATCATCCTAGGCCTACACGATGCTCAGTTTAAATGTTCTTAATTAATTTTTTGTGACCGAACAAAAGGATATTTTTGAAAGCTTTCTTCTGCAATATTATTCTAAATTATGGCAGGAATCGATTGGTAAATGTTTCAAGTCGCTAAGTGGTCTGGTTGCCGAGATATGAACCAAAAACTTTTTTCGAGGTTTTTTGGCTTTTCCGGCAAATCCAGGAAGGAATTCGGGAATTTTTTTGGCCCACAATCATCCTCGGAACTTGCTTAACATATTTGCTTTGGAACTAGTCCTCGATATTGCTTCGTTGGGGAGGAAATTAGACCGAAAGCTGTGCACATCCATCCATCCATCCATACAGAAATGACGAGTTAATAAGCGCAATTCCTGTAAGGAAATTGTGCTAAAAATTTTTTTTTTTTTTTTTATAATAACATTTTTTTTTTTTTTTTTTTTTAAATACTTTTATTTGCAATTTAAAACAAGTACATCAACATCAAATTCTTACATAATTTCGAACATCAAATGAAAACGAAATAGTAATACAATATATTACAATATATTACAATAGTAATATTTCTTTCTTACTTGTAGCCTGCTTTCATTCATTTAAGATGGTTTACATATACATAGATGTAATACAAAACGTCTAAATATAAAGAAAAATTAAAAATTAAAAACTAACCTGAAACTGAAAATGCAAATGTGTAATTAAAATTAAATGATGATTCAAGGGATTTTTTTTTCTCGGCGTGGTGGGCTGAGGGGACGAGGGGGGGGGGGGGAGAGGGGGAATTTGTTTTTTTTTTAAAGTAGAGCTGAAATGAATTTGGGATTACAGAGAATTAAAATGATACAAATTTTAAGCAATCGGAAAAGTTATGTTATTACAATGAGACACGTAAAAGCAAACACTCTTCCCTTTCAAACATCTATATCTATACAGTCCTCAATTAGTTTTTTTTTTCCTTTTTATTTTTTTTTTGTTTTATTAATTCAATTGTTTTAAACCTTTAAATCAGTAATAATTATTTATTTGATAGATTTTACACAGCATCAAAGACATGAACATCAATTGCATATATAATAATCAAATGGAGAAAATAAAATGGCATAAGAACTAGACTAAAATAAGGTGTGCAAACTAGGTTTCTCTTGACTGCTTAGTTTACTGTGCTTTGTCCTTAGCTGAGGAGTCAAAAGTTCACATTGTAGCCGCCCATGGACAGAAATAGAAACGACCTTGGGAGAAGTGTCTCTGCAGTACACATACTGATCCATCATTCCAAAACTTTCCATGACATAAAATTGACCCTTGGCAAAGAGGTCACGCTACCTTGAAAAATCCGCCAGTCCGGTTGAGTGGGGGGAAGTGTGTGGGGGGGGGGGGTGAGGTGTGTATCTCTTTCTACCATTCAGGTTGTGCACTTTTAAAAACCTGGGAAACAGAAGACTGTTCTAATGTTAATTTACTTGAGGGCTGATCGAGTGATGTTTAGCTTGAGACTGTCGATATTAATTATGCATCTAGTTTATTTGCTTCTTCTGTAGTTCAAATTGTGCTAAAAAGGTTATAATTTTTGGAAACTATGACGCTATAGAAACGCAAATTAAAGTTTAAAACCATTATATACATAAAAAGATATATAATACATTAACAGTCTTTGAATTTAACTAAATTATCCAGGTAAAATACAAAAATAAAATTCTAAAAAAGTTATATTTATTAGAAAACATATTTTAAAATAATTTATATTTTTTTTTTAAAAATATATGCAGAACACATAAATATGTTTGTTTCTTTTAAATATATTTTAGAAAAAAATAATTTCATCAAAAGTTATTTCCCATGACAAAGAAAAGATAATTCACATTCCAAGATTCAGTGGATTTCATATAAAAACATAAATCATATGTATCATTGATTCGGTCAACTTCTTATCTCCAACGGTGGGGACTATTGATATGTGTTTTCATTGTAGGAGAGAACATGTTTAAACGTTAATGTTTGCAATTGTTTACTATCTTAGTGGTCAACCCTTTATTTACGGAATTAGGTTCCGAATTACATTTATTCTTAAACAATATGTTATCATATTGCTTTTGGCACATTTAAAGCATATGTCGAAGGAAATTTTGTTTCGTAAATTTTTAAGGGCCCAAACATGCATTGGTACTTATAAGTACCGTCAGGAATGTAGGACATTTTTTTCCAAAAATAAAAAAAAATTACAAAACAGGAAAAAACGATACAACTTATTTAATAATAACGTGGCAATCATTATACCAATCATTTTGTGTCATTTTCACACATAAACCCAGCACAAAAGTATATTTTGTGTACGATTTTTACTGGATTTTCTATCGGAACACATCTTAGACCTCAAACACAGCAAAAGGTGCCGACATGTCATGCTCCCTCATTCCTCATTCCTGGGACATTCTTGTCTGTCGTCTTTCTGGTGTGGCAACAGTTGCCGGACTGAACCTGCTTTTGCTGGAGGCTTCCAATAGCCATTACAATGAGCCGCATACAAATATTTTGAAAACGAAATCCTAGTCATTCATATCACTACTACTAGTAATACTAGTATCATTGTAGCCTACTAGAATGTTATGACAAGTCTACACTACAGTGTAAAGTTCATAAATAGAAGTAAGCTCAATGTGTTTGGAATAGCCGTAGTGGGCTACTGTTTTGTGTTTACTGATTCAAAATTACAAAACGATCTATACTACATGCAGATGTATGAACTATTACTAGTCTACATGTGTACATTATGTACACGCTAGCTATTGTATGCAAGACAGTTTTTTGCAACAAATATAACTTACAAATCTTACTTCTAGAACTAGACTTTGGTATACAAATAACGTATACTAAAACTAAACCTAGTAAACGAGCCTGCAACTGCCACCTCTATTCTTGTTATTCTTTTACTACTAGAAATCTGCAATTAATTGCAATATTTCTGAGGAAAACCCTATGCTAATCTTCTTATAAATGCATAAATATATTTTAAGTACATTTCGATAATTAATTATCAAAATAATATTTATGTCACTCCACATCGAAAATCAGCAATTTCCAAGAAATCCTAAAAAAAATGTCCGTGTGCCCTGACGGTACTTATAAGTCCACTTGTAAACATCGATCTATTACAAAGACAATTTGATAAAAATTGTATAACTAGAAGTTACACGCCTTTGCCTGACTATTGAAGATGCCAATAAAAAATATTCGGTGTTGAAAACGTGAAGAATAGGGTAAAACAAAGGGAAATCAGGAACACATGTGAGATATGTACAGAACAATTGTGAACTATCGATACAGGTAGAGATTGAAAGTGGCGCCACACCAGTAATTTTCAAAAAACATCGTTCCCTCCACCTACCTTTGACTCAAGGGAGATAATACTATCAATTACATCAATAATTTTTTAAAATTCGTCTTAAATTAAAAATAATACAGGCGCTTAATTAAAGTGGTACTTATAAGTACCGTCAGTAGATAAAGGGACGTTAATGTTTGCAATTTTTTAATATCTTAGTGGTCGTTACCTTAGTTTTATACTTGTAATGAGCCAATCACAGACGTGTGTCGAACTTGCCAGCAGGTGTAAAATTGTGGAGGTGGTCGCCCTGTCCAAGACAGCAAGGGATCTGGGCTCACCTGAGAGCTACAGACCGTTCTCCCTCTGCTCTAACATCAGCAAGCTCTTGGAAAGGCTGGTCAATGACCGCTTGTTTTGGTTTTTGTCAAATAACAGACTGCTAGACTCTTGTCAAGCGGGCTTTTGGTGGGGACGGCAGCCAGTGGACTCCGTTCTTCAGTTGATTAAGGAAATCACTGGCTGTTTCCACACAAAGGTCACCACCTATGTGCTGTCCTTCGATCTGAAACAGGCCTACTATAAGGTATGGAAATCCACATTGATATTAAAACTCCGTCAAATGGGCGTGTGTAACAACATGTACCGGTGACCAACAGACTTTCTGTGTTAGGGATAGTTAAGGCGGCTGGATATAGTGCTGACATCCCCATTCATTCATATTTCGAGGTCACTTAAAACAAGTGGACTCTACATTACTTGTTCCGTGGACAATCTTTTGATAGGTTTGAAATTAAAAATGAACACTTTTAGTGTAGACAACACTAGATAACAAGTGCTAGCCATCTCCAGTAATTATCTTCTTCACCTTCTTCTGCCCTTTGATCTGAATCAGGCCTACTATTAGGTATGGAGAAGACCGTGTACTCGCTGTTCACGAATGACATGGCCACGTTAAAGAGCCGGTCAAGTTTACGATTGACAGTGAAAACTAGTGAACCTTTGGACCAGATATTGAAGCTACCTAGCGTGTGTGAGATCTATGTAACAATGAGTCAAAACGGTTCAATCACTATCAATTTAAGTGAACTCTATGTGCACAAACGATATTTAAAAAAACAAAAACAAAAATACGTTATTTCTAGCCATATAAATAATGTAAACGCTTTAGTCGCTATATTAAAATTATTATTATTGCCAAATGTTTGTGCATTTAATAACTAAGCGTACATAAACTGCGTTATGATAGAACTATCTTTAAATGTTAATTAAATACCATTACTATTAGTAATAAAAAATAAGAACAGTGATCGAGATTTACTGGTTAAACCCAACATTAAGAAAATAAAAATCTCACAATATGAAAACTGATTCTTTGTAATTTGACTATCGTTTATCATTTTTAGTTTTAAACAATATTTCTTATCGTAAATAATCTTATACGATTATATCAACATTAAATAATTAATTTTTGATTGTATTTAAAATTTTATTACTAATCATACAATTAGTATTTTTTTTATATGTTATGTTTGTTTACTCATTCAATTTACTATCGTTTAAAAATTTCCCCTGTTGTCTCAAAAAATATATCATGGGAGGTAACTTTATCTAGATAGACTTCGTCTACTATATTTTATTTTCTTTGCAATGATCTATCTATGGCTTTTCCAAATAGTTCTAATTAAGTTTTGGGATGGGGACCCTGTATGCAGGGCCGGCGCTACCTATAAGGCGAACTAGGCGGTCACCTAGGGCGCTATCTATACGGGGGGGGGGGGGGGGTCACAAAATGTTCATTTTCTTTATTAATAAGTACCTAATAATCAATAACTTTGATTATATTAAATAAACTATAGTAAGGTAACAAAAAGGTGTAGCGATCTATTTTGGTGCCAAGTGTGAACTATCGACTTTGCGCCCCTCCCCAAATTAGACCTATATATAGTTAATCGTGTTGTTGAAAATTCAGAAAATGCGCCCCAACTTTTCTCATTTAAAAAGGTATGGGCACTTTTTAAGTCACTTTCTATTTTTTATTTTGGTGTCAGATATTTTAATGTAGAAAATAATTAATTAAGTCTGTAATATCAAATAGCAGTCAATAACTTATCGCCCCTCTTTTAAAAGTCTAATAGATGTGTCCAAATAGCTCATGTTAATAATTTTGTTAAAAGCAAATAAAAAATAAATATATTCTCTTAATTATTATACAGGTTTATAAAATAAAAGACAAACAAATAAATTGTTTTTTAAGTCTCAGATAATGTAATTATTTTCAGCTCGCCTGAGCTTTGTCCCGAAGGTGACCACTGTCTAATTACTTGTATTTCATCACGTGACATACGAGGACCGTAGTAGATTTACAAACCTCCGCTATCTTCATCTTTTTCATTCTTAAATATACATATAATACTTAGAAACGTTTAGTGGTAAGGGTGGGGGTTATAAAGTGGTAAGCTGGCATAATCAGTGTTCTGTAAAGAAACAGTACCATTCGGTTATGAAGAAGTTTTTTAATGTTGTAGGGGTTGGGGTCGGGGTTAAAGCTGTGAGTTTGTCTATTCAAAAGATTTTTCTTTTTTTTCGTTATACACTTGCATGTAACATAAACCAAACATCGAAATAATGTCCAATGGCCTGTATTTACCATCCTGCTTCTATATTCATAACATATACCAAAGTCCACTTTAAATATATATATATATATATATATATATATATATATATATATATATATATATATATATATATATATTCTTAAATTTGCTATACATTTTATGACCACTAACTGTTTCAATTTCTTTTTAAGAATTATTTGGCAAAATAAGGAAATATAACAACATGTATGTAAGTGAAAAAAAAACACTTCTTAAAGTTAAAAACAATTTTTTACTACTTCTTTTAACAATTATAAGGAAATTAAATTATATCACATTTAAATTGAATTAAATTATGCAAGCCTACTTTTTTTTAACAGACTTCCTGCAATAACAGTTTAAGCAATGATCTCATAAGGAATAGGTGTCAAAAAGTCAGGCTTGCTGACAAAATGGGCTTACGCTTGGCTGGGCGGGATCTCTCTTAGTGTTAGCTTTAACACCTGTCTCCTTAGATTGTTTCTTAAGCTCTTCATTCTTCTTGACGCATTTCAAGAAATCAAGACGGCAGTTACTGTGCTTAATATGCTCAACTCTGACATTGATTTGTTTAGGGATAATACGGTTGCCCAACTGTTTATTGACAACCACACCAAGAGCATGAGGGGTTACATTGATTTGTTTAGGGATAATACGGTTGCCCAACTGTTTATTGACAACCACACCAACCAACAGCACGAGTTGTTAAATTGATTTGTTTGGGGATAATACGGTTGCCCAACTGTTTATTGACAACCACACCAAGAGCATGAGGGGTTACATTGATTTGTTTGGGGATAATACGGTTGTCCAACTGTTTATTGACAACCACACCAACCAACAGCATGAGGGGTTACATTGATTGGTTTGGGGATAATACGGTTGCCCAAATGTTTATTGACAACCACACCAACAGTATGAGGGGTTACATTGATTTGTTTGGGGATAATACGGTTGTCCAACTGTTTATTGACAAACACACCAAGAGCATGAGGGGTTACATTGAAAACGCGACCAGTCTTTCCGTGATAGAACTTGTGTGGCATACCTTTTTGAATGGCACAATCACCCTTAATGTCAACAATGTCCCCACGTTTGTAAACTGACATATAACGTGATAGATTGGTCACACCTTTGTTTTCTGAATCTACGTGAGAACATGTACCGCGTGCCGCGGCGATAACCTTTTGGATTTGTCATTTTCAATCACAATAAGTTTGTCCTGTCAACCACACGGCTTTAGGAAGAGGACAGAAAGTCAAAACGATAGACTTTTTTTTTAAGTAAGTAGGGTGAAATAAGTTTTTTTTTACAGCAAAATGTTATAACGCGCATTTCACGTTGATGACGTAACGTTAATGAATCAGCAGTCACAAAGTATATTACAAAAAAAGTGACCTATTAAAAAAGTTTTTGTCATTTTTTAATACAAAATCAATTTACTTTTTTTATGCTGAATGTAATTTTTTGTAAATATTACATATGCAATTATTTGTTGGTATTCGAAAAATACTATGGTAATTTGATTGATGCATACTTTTTTGGTACTTCTTATTTAAACTTTAAACAACAAAATATTGTGTAAGTTGTTTCCCTTATAAAATGTAATATAAATGTCAAGACTGTAGGGTGTACTCATGTCTGTGCTGCTCGATTTATGTGTAGTTTAATCTTGGTTTACATTGACCCTGGTGTAGAAATAGATTTTTTGGAAATGTGAACATTCATAATATAAATAGATATTCAAATAATAGAAAAGCAGTAATATATTTACAAAATAGAAATTATGCTAATTTACAAATATGTGACTCTTAAAATCAAGTTAACATCTTTCAAATTAAATACGAGACATATAATGAAATGATAAAGCTTAAAAAAATGACACTCGCATAGTTTAGAATTGTCTGTATTTATTATGCAATGAACAATTAATCAAAAGTTCTCACAAGTGTACATATTTTTTTCTTGTATTAAGTTAATTTAACAGAGTAATGTTTATTTCAGGCATCACTTCCGGGGGGAGGATTGAAGGCACGTCTACCACCCCCCCCCCCCCCGCCCACCCATACACACCTTATAAAAGAAAACGGATTTATATAAAAATAGCTGCTATTTAAATTATCCGCTCCCACCCCCCCCATCCTCCTACTGAACATTTTGTTTACCCCCCCCCCCCCCTCACACTTTCTTTATTGTTTGACATCAGAACAGTAAATACAATTTTTTTTAAGTCAACGTATTCCCACAAAAGTATATGCTATTGGTACAAATCATATACCACATGTTTCTAATTGTGTTGTTTAACAAAAACTAGTATAACTTTTTTTCATTTGCAATTAGTTCGGTTAAAAAAATAAACACGTCTCATCATTATTATTTGATTGTTCTTGTTTGTTTTTTTTTTTTTAACTTGTTGCTTCCATTTTTCATGAATTTTTTTTTGTTAAAACAACAGCTATGGTCTCGGTTAGATGTAACATTGTCTCCATTTCTTCTGATTGGTGCTGATATATTTATACATCCAATAACGATCGTTTTAGTCTTACACTTGAACTTATTGATGCATAGTTAGCTCCTGAAGCTAAAGCTACCTTTACTAACCATTCTTTGAAGACATATTAGCAAGATCTTGTCTTTTCTTTTGGACTTTCTTGTGGTGACATATGTTAACCTTTTTAACTCTAGAAAACAAAATAATTTCATCTGGTCTTTTTTTTTTACTTTTTATTGATGTATAGTCAGCTTCTGAAGCTAGAGCAACCTCTGCTAAACTTTCTAGCACTACAAAACATAATTGCAGAATAGTGTATTTTCTTTTAGACTTCCTAGATCTCATGACTGACCTCCAGTATTAAATCTACTATCTGTTCCACTTCAGTTGTATGACCCAATACTGTAAACTGTACTCTCGAGGGGCCATCAAAGCTTACATCTACTTCCTGAAATATTTCTCAATATCATTCATTAGATAAACTCTGTGATAAAACTGCCACACCCCCAGCGTGATTTAAATATACTAGATGTCATCTGTATAGTTTTTACAATCATTGCAATACTTGGATGGACAAAGAGCATAAGTTATTGCACCATTTTAACGTTGTTTTATAATAACTGACTGTTATATCCCAGATGACCATCGTACATAGTTTCCTTTTTTTGCGTTTTGAGTTTGGATCTGCAATATCACCGTAACAAAGTGGTACCTCGACATTATAATCCCCCGACATCTGGTTTTATTTTAGATACTTGCTAGATAAAATTTGCTTTGATACTTGAGGATAAAAATTGGGAATAACCAATATTAGCGCGAATGATAGTTAACACCCTAAACATGTTTCAGCTGAATGTGCATCGGGGCTAGTTTATGACAAATACCTAATTTATGTTTGAAACATTCTAAAATGATAGAAAAAAACTAACCTTGGACACGTTTATTTTAACGGCCAGCTTGGAAATATGAAAAAAAGTGTGGCAAAAAGGCAATGACAAGCTGAGAGAAAAGAGGGCGAGACAATAGGGCTGGTAAGTAGGTCACCAACTAGTTCTATGTCTCATGCAGGTTTTATTCAGCCGTAGAACAGGTTGGTGATCTACTTACCAGCCCTACTAAGTTAAATAAACCAAACATTCTTTTTTTTTCTTTTTTTTTTATTCACAAGTTTGAGAGTAAAAAAGAAAATCGTGACGTAAAAAAATCATTCAATTATCAATGAACACTAATGAATTCCTGATGTAGACTAATACTCTAATTCAGCATAAGGCGTTCCAACCAATTATTTGACTGTGTGACTCAATCGACAAAGTAAAAATTACGGCAGCAACTGTGTTTTCATTTGAACTAAATTACCCCGTGTGGTTTTTCTATATTTTCCTGCTAACATGTTTACATATAATCACGTCCTTCTGACAAAAAGTATTATGATAAAATGTAAGACTATTTTTGATAACTTAAAATACGACGCTAGAGTGACCGCAATAACTTGTCTTTAAGCCCCATCTTTGTTTAAATAGATGTATTTAGGTAAAACATACAAATCTTTAAAAAAAAATATATGTAGATATTTATAATTTAGATATGTGGATTAAAAAAGGATATATTTAAACACCGAATTGATATATTTTAAAACCTTTAAAAATACATGTTTATAAAATAAAAGACAAACAAACAAATAAATAAATTGTTTTTTAAGTCTCAGATTATGTAATTCTTTTCAGCTCGCCTGAGCTTTGTCCCGAAGGTGACCACTGTCTAATTACTTGTATTTCATCACGTGACATACGAGGACCGTAGTAGATTTACAAACCTCCGCTATCTTCATCTCTTTCTTAAATATACATATAATACTTAGAAACGTTTAGTGGTAAGGGTGGGGGTTATAAAGTAGTAAGCTGGCATAATCAGTGTTCTGAAAAGAAACAGTGACATACAGTTATGAAGAAGTTTTTGAATTTTGGGGGGGGGGGGGGGGTTGGAGTCGGGGGTGAAAGCTACCAGTCTGTTCATCCAAAAGTGTTTTCTTTTTTTAAAACGTTTTTCTTAACTCAGCTTCGCGTTTGTTTGTTTGTTTGGTTGTTTGGATGTTTGTTGTTAAAATTGACATCGAAAATTAGCCCACTTCTGATTGCTCTAGAGACCTGAAATTTGGCATGCATGCTACTTTCGCCTAACAATTTCAGATGCAATCATAAAAACTAGCAATTAGTGACCGTAATTAGCTTAATTTAATTACGCCCCAAGGACCATAACATTGAGGAC